ATAGAAAGTAGGTTCTTTTAAACTCCCACTTATTTTCAAAATATATTAATTATGAAACCTCTATTGTAATTTTTTATGATGATTTTTTCTTTACGAACTATTAATAAAAGTTGTACAAAATAAAATGGGGTAATTACGTGTAGGCCTGAAAATAAAAAATAATTACAAGTAAGGGCCCAAGCCAAAAATGATTACAGATAAGGGCCCAAATTTTGAAAAAATTTACATAACATTGCTGTTTATATGTTGTACATTGGAATGAAATTATTGTGGATTTAGAATCTGCCTAGGTTGATTCTAAATATACATAGGTTGTAACAGAATTCTAAAGTGCGCCCAAGTCGTTAGAGAATTCCAATTCAACTTACAATAAAATTAAATGTATTCCAAATTATTTCATTGAGTACGTTATTTTGGAATTTATGTCGTTTAAAATAAAATTTATTTATAACGCAGCGCATTGCAAATTAATTAATTTAAAAGCTTACATGAAGTTTTTACATCTATTATTAGTGAGATGGCAACTACTCTCACAAGGTACTTTCATTTTTTCACATTTACAATGATTTTTGTCACACGCGCTTTTGCAATTGCATTTAACATTATCTATTTGTGAAGAGGGTTGCATAATAGACACGTCTCGAACATTTTTGAGTTATAGTCAACTCTTTCAATAACAAACTTAAGATTTTGGAAGAAAAAAAAGTTCGTTAGAGAAAATTTCTAAATTTTCTTAAGAACCCGTTGCATGTTTTATACCAAACTATTGTAAATTTCAAAATTTTGAGTTTTTTATATCCAGAATCGACTGTACTATCTAATTTGGAAACTTATCAGAACCCAACAGAAGAATTAATTAAAATTATACTAATTCTAATATGGATTTGTATCCAAGTTTATTTGTATCATTCTTCAAAACTTCGAGAATCTTGAAGGAGAGTGTCTTCGATAGTAATGCTTGTATTTGCTAGGTCGCGTAAAACCTTAATACAAAAATAAAAATCTTCACGGTTTTATGCCGATTTGTTGCTAAGATATTTAGAAAGCAATTCTTCGAGTGCATTTTGAGGCAATAACGGATAATCTTGAACGAAAAAGTGAATAAAAGCAAGAAAGTAGTAAAAAATTTTGTTACGTCAATCAATTACGCATTTATTGTACAGTAGTATCGAATTTAAAATCAACTTAAGCTACTATTAAATTTATCGATTATCACAGTATTAAATTTAGAATCAACTTAAGTTGCTTTTAAATTTCGTATCAACTTGAGCTATATTTGGAATTCCATTCTAAAAGTGGATTCTAAATCTACAGTACTTCCGTTCCGACATACAAAATATACAGTATTACTTTATACATTTGATACTATATCACTTCGCTTAATAAAATTTTTCTTTTAATCAAGATACAGTTCAGTACGATATTTATCAATTTTGTAATGTTTATTCGGTTCTAAGCTAATATATCTATCCTATAACAAAATTAGTGAATCATGTTTTGTGAAGGTTACTATGCGTTGATTGAAGATATTTAGAACCGTAGGAACCTATTTGTATTCGTAGAGCAAGTTAAATTAGTAATAGTTTTTATCTGCAAGACGCTAAGAGAGTAAATGCAATATTGATTAAAAAAGTAATATGTCTAGTATTTACTGGATAAAAACGTATATCTGTTTTCTGTATCAGATTATGTAGATCAAGTCAATGAATGCAAACATTAAGATCTTACTTATTTTGATAGTTAATATTTAAAAAGATATATATCGATATAGTACAACAAAATTCATAGCTAAAATTTTATTAGAAGTCAAACTATAATAAAATCTTTTTTCTAATTGTTGTTACTGGGATTTTATTGGCTATAGTCAGCAATAATCAACATTGTCTGGTACAGAAAAACGAGATAATTTGATTTAATGTAAAGAATATCAAAAACGTAATCTTTTATAATTATTAGAAAAGATTTTACATGTGATCTATCATAATTTCACTTTGGTACGTACGTACGTACGTACGTACATGTGTACATACGTTTTGATTGACGACGCCCTGTATGTATGTACAATTATCTTGTCAATTTTGAATGATGGTAAAAAAATTATTAAGAGTTTGAAAAAGTCTGTCTGAATTAGGACATTGTTAAAACTTATTAGAGTCTCGCACCTATTATTATTATAGCACATTAATAAGTTTTTCAAATATTTTATGCCATTAAATTGTTATACTTATTCCATAGCAATTTATAATTTATTAATTACTATTTCATTTTATATATGTAAAACCAAAGTTAAATTTTGATTGTTTGTGTACGAATTAGAGTTTTATTGCTATAACTACATTTTAATTCAATTACATTTTAATTCAAAAATTAGTATATTAATTGTTAACTTATTTTAAATGATTAATGTGTAATTTTATCTAAAAGTTTGATTTGTTTTTATCTATAGAAGTTCCTATTGCCATGTTGATAACAATAAGCAAGATTTTTTTCCTAAATCACAACTTCCTTTAGCAGATTTTTAATAGTATTCAAAGGCTTTCTTTCCATCTTTAGAAGTTTTTACGTCATATTCATAGCAATTACATGATGGTTTTGTCCTAAACTATCTCCCTCCTCGATTTCATGTACTATTTAAAAGCCATGTTTCTATTTACAAAAGTTCCTATACCATGTAGATAACAGTCACCAAGCTTTTTTTGACCTAAACTATTACCTCCATTAGCTGATTTCATGTACCATTCAAAACCATCTTTTCATTCACTGAAGTTCCTATGCCATATCGATAGCAACTGCCAATATGTAATTGTGCATTTGCATTTCCATTTTTAGCTGCTATCAAATACCAATTAAAAGCTTCTTTTTTATCTTTATAAATACCATCACCATCATAAAAATAATTTCCAACAAGCACTTGCGCATTAGTATTCCTATTTTTAGCTGACTTTAAATACCATTTGAAAACTTTCACTCTATCTTTATGAATGCCATCGCCATTATAATAGCAATTTCCAATAAATATTTGTGCATCTGAACTCCCATGTTTAGCAGATTTAAAATACATTTAAAAGTCTATTTTATTTTGATAAATACAATCACCAATATAATAACAAGTTCCGACAAGGAATTGTGCACTTGCGTTTCTATTATTAGCTGATTTCAAATACCATTTGAAAGCTTTTAGTTTATATTTACAAATTATATCACCATTATAATAATAACATCCAATAAGCAATTGCGAACTTGTATTGTTTGCAGATTTTATAAACCAATCAAGTGAAATTACATGATTTTTAACAACACCATGACCATAAAAATAACATTCTACAACAAGACACTTTCCTAAATTAGAACCCATAGTAGCTGATTTTAAAAAAAATTGTAATACTTGTTGTTGATTTATTGTAATTCCCTTTCCCTCTATATAAAGTGATCCAAGTGATATTAATTCAATTATCCGATTTTCTTTTAATAAAACATCTGTCAAAAGAAAATTATCAAAATTATTTAATGATCTATTATCAGTAAAATAAATATCATTGGCAGCTTGATTATACAATTTAAATGCTTTATAGTAATCTACAGTTGTTCCAATTCCATGCTCATAAAAAAAACCAATAATGCTAGTAAAGTAAGATCTATAATAATTATTATAGTATTGATCAAAGATTTCATTAGGATTTTTTGTAATTATCATTTAAATAATTATTTATACAAGAGGCTATAGAATTTTTTGCTTCTCTTGAACTTCCTTGTATATTAAATTGTGTTATAAAGAATTGATTTAAATTATGAATAAACTTCAAATATTCATTGTTAATATAATCTTGCTTTTTTTGACTATTTACTGTAAGGTGAGTAAAGAATTTGATAAATTTAAAATAGCGTTCTGATCATTAAATAAATTATCTTCATTCAAATCAGTTTTAAGAGCTTAATAATTGAAGAAATTAATTCTATCTCTTTTCTCATTTCATTATATAAATGCTTTATTAAGTCTATTTCTTCCTAATTTTTCATTTTTGCTGCCGTTAATTTATCTTTATCATATTCAGTAAATATTTCTTCATTGTTGATTACATCTTCATAATCAATATTTTTTAAATCTTCAAAAATACTTTGGATAGTTGGACGCTGATTTGGATTATGTTGCCAACACTCTGAAAAGTCAATAGATATATATATAATATGCTTATACATAGTAACATTATATCAAAATTATATATATTATATTGGTTTACCTGTATAAATTTTCATATATTTTTTAGGAGTTCCAAGAACTACAACTTCACGTTTACCACGAATAATGGAATTTAATAAATTAAACTTAAAAGATAAATTAGTCTTAAATGGAATAACTCCGCTTGAAATTTCCCACAAAAGAACTCCAATACTATATATATCGGAACTTTTGTTAATTTTGTAAGTTTCAAGATTTTGTAAATATTGAGGATCTATATATTGTATATATTTAAATTTGTTTAAAGATGAAGACTTATTCTGGTATTGAATGCACCAATTTTAACATCTCCTCTATGAATAAATATTTTTTTAGAATTCTGAATAATTGAGATTATCCGGTAGATGACTATGATCAGACTGCTAAATAAATTTATTATTCGGCAATTGTTATTATTCGGCAGTTTTTA